TATATGGTAATATAAATATTAGTATATTCTAGTGTATAAATTTGGTCAAACTGCAGATAGCTTGTATTAGGACAAAACTAAAAGGTAAGTTTGGAATGGAGGCAGTATAGAAAAAATGTATCTACATCTTAGTTACAGTTGATTTCGAGATGCAATAGTTAGGAAATACACGCGTGCGTATTTCACACCAAAAATCAGGTGACTTCTGACTATGGCCCCGTTTGGCAGGGATTCTCCAGCGGCTTCAGGAGCCGTTTGGAGCCGTTTTCTGCCAAACGGGGTAAAATGAAACGGCTCCACCGATGAAGCCCCTAAAAACGTGCTCTCACAAAGCTTTGGGGTGGGAAGGAGCCAAAAATAGTGGCTTCTCCCGGCTCCTCCTCGAGGCCCCTAAAAACATGCTCTCACAGGGAAGCCATTTTGCCAAACGGTTTACCAAAATCGCTTCAGCTCCACCGGTGGAGCTGTTCGTAGAGCTGAAGCCAAAAAAAAAATGGCTTCACCTGCCAAACGGGGCCTATTACTTTTGAAGATATTATTTGTGTTTTTTGGAAAATGATTTTTAGATACGGCTGGATTAGGAGACACCTAGCAAATCAATTTCTAGAAATAGTTGGGGCGCGCATGTACCTCTACAACTATTTTAGCTACTAGTAGTGTCATATCGCTAATCTATTATTACAGTATATGTTTACACACGATCTTTTGCACACAGGAGACGGCTAGTGCACTGCTGCATTCACTCGAGTACATAACGAGAGTAGCTAGACGACCGATCGATCAATCGAGAGCCATGCAAGAAATGATGCAGGTGCTTCCGGTTGCCATGGCCGTGCTCGTTCTCCTCACCGCCGCCGCTTACCTGCGCAGCAGCTGGCGGCACTGCGCAGGCAACACCCGCCGCACCGTGCCAGTCCCGGCAACAATCGAGGTCAGGGACCCCGAGGCCGCCCGGCGCATGATCATCGACCACGCTGACTCCTTCTCCGACCACCCCGCCGTGCCCTTCCCCGTGGACCTCGTCGCCGGTCACCCCAAGACCACCAGCATCAACAGCGCGCCCTACGGCCCGCTCTGGCGCGCGCTCCGCTGCAACCTCACCGCCGGCGTCGTCCACCCCTCGCGCCTCGCCCACCTCGCGCCGCTCCAGCGCGACGCCGTCGAGGCTCTCGTCGCAGACCTGTTGCTCGCCGTCGCCGCCCGGGGCGGCCGAGGAGAAGCCGGTGACGGCGCGGCGGTTGTCGCCGTCAGCGACGCCCTGTACTGCGCGACTTCTTCCACTCCGGCGTGGACGCCAGGCGCCTGGCGAGCTCGAGGCTGGCGAGGCTGCTGCAGTGGAGGCAGTGGCGATACCTGGTCGGCACGAGCGGCCGCCTGGCCGAGGTCTTCGTCCCTGCCATTGAGGCGCGGCGGCGGCTCCGGCGTAGTGACGGCGGCGGTGTCCTGTCGTACGTCGACTCGCTTCTCGACCTTCGCGTGCCCGACGACGACGACGAACCTTCCGGTGGCAACACCCGGCGGCGCGCGCTTAGGGACGACGAGATGGCGAGGCTCGTCTGGGAGTTCCTGGGAGCCGGCACGGAGACGGTGGTGGCGTGCGTCGTGTGGACGCTCGCGCTCCTCGTTGAGCATCCGGAGGTCCAGAAGAAGCTGCACCGCAAGCTCAGCGGCAGCGGCCGCGAGCAGCCAGTGCCATCCGAGGAGCGCCTCAAAGACTCGGCATACCTGCGCGCTGTCATCCTCGAGAGCCTGCGGCTGCACCCGCCGGTGCCATTCATCCTGCGCGACGTCGTCGGACTACCTGAGGGCGCGGCGGCGGCGGTTGGGAGAGCAGTCCCAGTCCCACCGCCCGATGGCACGCCGGTGCGCTTTGTGTTCGTGGCAGAGGACATCGGGAGGGACCCCAAGGCATGGACGGACCCCGAGGAGTTCAGACCGGAGCGGTCCGTCGACGGCGGCAAAGGGGAGGACGTGAGCCCTGTTCCAGGGCCCAAGGAGATCAGGATGATGCCGTTTGGAGCCGGGCGCAGGCACTGCCCTGGCGCGGGGCTTGCCGTGATTCAAGCCAATTGCTTCGTAGCCGCGCTCGTGAGCGAGTTCAAGTGGGCGCCGCCGGCGAGTGGCGGCGCCGTTGACCACACGTCCACCAATGCGTTGTTCTTGAAGGTGATGACATGGCCGCTTAGAGCCGCGCCGGTCTTAGTTGTTGGTGCGGAATCATGCTATTCATGTATTTGGCAGTGATCTATATTCTTTTAAGAAATATTTTGGGTCCAGGTTCTCTTAGAGAAAAGTTATGCATTAGAATCGCTTGGTGAAATCATTTGGCTCGTACTCCAGGCTATATCATTACATCCTAATTAAAATTTACTTTTTCTTAAAAGATTACATAAATAAAAATACAATTTTAGAAAAAAAAAAGTTTTCAGGGCAAAGAACAACCTAAATACTTCTTATTTCACTTAAAAAGAATTAAAAAAAATTATGGTTGCTAGGGCTTGTAAGGGGGGAGGGGGACAAGAATTAGAATCACGTGAAACTAGCCAACTGCCCTTTCTCATTGCTGCACATCTAGTGATTCTCGAGCGAATCATTTCTCGCGTGATCTATTTGGCAGTTGTTCTATCGATTCTCGCAAGAGTTAGAAATGTTTTTGGTTGCCAAACGGGGTCTTCATGTTAGGGGATGGTAATTCCTCTAGTGGAATATATGTGTCTACAATGGGAAACTGAGTTAATTTTAGGATCGATGCAAGTGGAATCAATTACACATTACATTATATTTTTTTTTCGACGAAAAGAGAGGCTTTCTTATTGCTCGGAAACATTACATTATAATTACACGAGTTCAGTTCCACATCATTGGTAATTGATTCCACCTGCGTGTGTCTACCGGACAAACATCATTGGTTTGTCTATTCTTTCACAAAAAAAAGATGATAAAATGAATCGGATGCAACTACTGAAAAAAGTGCTAAGAGGGAAGAGACAAGGATGAAGAGATGGAGAGACATATCTAGATGGACTCAAAAATTCTCTCTAGATTTCTTACTGGAGTCCTCAAGATAATATTTGACTCACTATTTGACCAGCAGTCAATGCACAGTATTGTAGCGAATTGTGCCGGTGCATGTTGTTTATATGCAAGGATTTTAGATCATCATAATTTATTGAAAGGCCCATGTTTGTGCTCGGCCCAAGCTTATTTATAGGCATGGGCTTATCCTATTTAAGGCCCAATTTCCAACTTTACCGGGCTCATTTTCAGGCCTAATTTAATTTTTGGTCTAGGCTAATTTTTGTGTGTGTAAGAGCAGCTCCAACAGTATTATCCCCTCAAAAAAAAAAGCTCCAACATTATTAAAAGAGCCAATTCATAGCTTATTTTATTAAGCAAGAAGGAGAGAGAATGATAAGCTAGTTCTTAGTAAAGAGCTAAGCTGATACACTTTTCTATAATTCATTCGTGCGTTTATGCTCACTTATATTTTATTAAACTAGCATGTTAGGTTACTCTATGTTTATTTTTTTAAGTTTATATGAGTTAGCAAGTTGACTATGTTGTTGAGGGTACCCTAATGTTATCGAGACCCAAAATATCCATTTTCCCCAGACGTCAGAACTCAGAGAAGCAACTATCCTATGGAGTGTTCGTTGAAAGTTCAGAGATTAACATGAGACTATACCAACCATACAATTACATTTAGAAATGGAGGCCTGCTGGTGGTGAGCTAACGTGCACGCATATCATGGCGTTCGGTGCTTGCTCTGCATGTTCGCTTGAACTTATTAGCCTAGTTTATCAGTTATGGTATAGTGCTTTTCTCTCATAACAAATCAGCGAACGGTACTTTTCAACTTAGGCTTCTCAGCGAAACGAACAGGGCGGCCCGCTAGGGAATATCTGGCCAGGCTCACCTAAAAAGCTGATCTGATCTTACGTTAATTTTGAAACAAGATTTAAACAGTAGGATTACATACGACAGCGAGTACGTATAATATAAAATTTTGGATTCATGTATCTAGTCGGCGTGCTGCTGTGTGCTGTGCTGTGCCGTACGTGTCATGTCATGAGGTGATCAAGTGGCCCGCACCGCACGTCGTCATCGTCGTGAGGAAATTTGAAGCCCACGCGAACCGAGGAGATGAGAACCACGCGTGCTGGCGTGCTGCGCTCTCGTTGCTGTGCGTCAAGCCGTCAACGCACGGCTTGAAGGATGTTGTAGTCAACTGTGAATTCTGGAACAGTTAGCTTGTGAGGATAAATACGAAGGTGAAATAGTAGAGCGATTAATTGTTTGTAATAAAAAAAAAACACTAGGTTCATTTATCTATAGACACTCTGTTTATAATGCCCTGTGTTACCGGACTGAAATGCCCTTACCCTCTAATTCGACTTCCTAGCGTATAAGGGCATTCTAGTCTTTTCGGTACAACCTCATACATTAGTCTAAGTGTAAGTATAATAAGGGGCTATAAACAGGTTGTATGCTATCATGGAGGAGAGAGGGGAAGAGAGAGAAGAGATGTGGGCTGTAAGCTTACAGCCAGCGTATGCACAGGAACCATAAAGTTCTGCGTGACAGACAAGTAGGCTATAAGCCGGCTAACTATTATACAAATGAGCTGATAGATTGGCTCTAAGTATCATACAGCCAGCAGTCAGCTCTATTATTAGCCTTGCTATAAGTCACACTCCCTTCATTTTAAAAAGGATACCAGCCCCACAACAAGGATATAACAACATAAAAAGGAAGCATTGGTTTCACTTCCAAGGTGATTAACCCAAACTTTATTGTTTCCAAGAGGTGGAGTCTTTGTACACTAGAAGACAAAGCAGACCCCACTGCTTGGTACTAACTACTAACGTACAATGGACGTTGCTAGAGCATCAAATATATCATCTTCGAGTGAAGATGTTACAATCACAATATCATACATCTGTTGAAGCTCATAACAGTCTGTCTCGTGCTGCAACGAACCGGCTAGCAGTTCATCACATCACTGTGCTGGCTTGCTGTGTCGCAGGCAGAAGGACTTGAGCCTGTCAAGGCCGTCTTCGAGAGAGGACGGATCAATTGCAAAGGTGATCCGGAGCCAATCCTTGCATCCCACAACACGTCCTGACAAAAATTTGTTTCCACCATGTTACATTACATCTCAAACACAAAAGGTGATCGATCTCAAGGTGGATGAGAAAAATGTCTTGTACTAAACAGATGAATGAACCGATCTGTATTAGTTCTTCGAGAACTATAGTTTCAAAAGAATCATGTATGCATATATTCAGGAGAGAACAATAAAGCACCTGGCAGAACAACAACTGATTCTTCCTTTGCCAGCCGGCAGCAGAAGTCCATGTCATCTTTGATGTCCTGCAGGCAGGACAGATCCAGCTTCACCTGTAGCAGGTCATGGAAATTTCACACCAGCATGTATGTTAGCGAATCACTCATGATGTACTTTGCAACATGGAAGACTATATATGTAGTGACTAATCACAGACCATTACAAACATGGATCCCATTGGTCTGCTTGGGCATGTGACTCCGTTGATGCCATTTAGCTTTTCCCAGCATATATCTGCACTTTCTTTGAGAATTTTGATGGTTTTTTGGAAGAACTCCTCCTTTGAGTTCTCCAGGAGGTTTGGAACTGCTCCCTAACCAACAGAATTTTGTGATGTGATTTAAGTCGATGCAGACCATTATATTTCCTATGAATTTCTAGCCTTGCAAGAAAATGGCAATGCGGTTATCGTCACCTGAACAAATGTTGTAGGATCAGAGCAGATATAATGGTAGGTCCTAATGCTAGCGGCTACCTGAAAGAAGAAAAGACATGTGTAAGCATTGTGCGACTGCATTTTGCGCTGTACCTTCATTTAATTCCAAAATCTGAAGAATAGCTTTACTATTAAATCAGCTATGTCAGCACCCAGGGCATTTTGTTAAAATAAAATGCAAACAAACTTTCCAATACTGGTCATCACATAACCGATGTTAGAGCATGAGAAGTAAATTAAGAACCTTGGTTCTCTGAAATACACCACTAGGATCATTGGTAACAATCCATCCAAGCCGCCAACCGGGCACCAGCCATCTCTTCGATAATGACCCCAGTGTGATCACTGGAGCCACAGCCCCAAACACACCCATCGGCACAAATTTCCTCTCTCCAAATGTCAAGTGTGCATAAGCCTCATCTGCTATGACAAATATGCCAAGTTTACGCGCGGTCTCAGCAACCTAAAAAACAATGAACACAAATAGGCATTCAGACTATCCCACCAGAGCAGTCAACTAAGGCAGAACCAGAACTATCTTATATTAGAACTTGCCTTGGCCAGGTGCTCATAGGAGTACACATTGCCACAAGGGTTTCCTGGGTTGATAATGACAATGGCAACAGTATTCTTGTCAGCAAGAGCTTGGACGCCATCAGTGTCAACCTCCCAGTCTTTCCCAGGTAGAAGATCGTAGTACCGGACTTCCATGCCATTGAAAACAGCGCGCGCCTCATAGAACTTGTAGCCAGGCCTTGGGAGCAAGATGTTGGCACCCGGACGAGCTAACACAGAGCAGATTATCTCAATTGCCTGAGCACAGCCGTTTGTGAGGTAGACATCATCAAGTGACAATTCATATGGCAAATCACGTGATAAGTACTGCGCAATGGACCTGAAATTTATGGTTTTAAACCACCATAAGGTAACTATGTTTAGAGTTGTGAAGAACATAGATGTATAATGGAATCTGTAGTGATTAAAAACAAATAAGACTGTGTATTTTGTGCTGCAAGAAATAGCCATAAATGTCTGATGGAAGAAAATTTCAGTGTCCAAGCACCTAGGTACCAAGAGACTGAACACATAGCACAGGTGCAGGATTCAGTTATTGTTTCTTATGACCGTGAGCCCGTGACAATTCTGGGTCCGATGGTATAACAAAAGAATATCAGGAAAACATGAAACGAAAATGTCATTATTGATCACAATCTAAGAAAGTGAATCTTATAGTTGTAACATGAACCAAAGTGGAAAGCAATATTTCCCTTTGTATTGTTGATATTAGTGGCTATCACAGCAAGCTGGCCAAGACAACATCGGCATATGTAAAGGTTCAGTGATTCCCAAACAGAACTATGTTACTAGAACTGGCTATTAAAATCATGTTGACTTCAGGAATAAGACGGGGAAGTAAAAGGGCCTTTCCACAGCTGGGATAATCCAGATGCTAAAAAATCCAAAAGATCTGATATTAGTGTTTATTTTAACATCAATATGGATATCCATATTCATATCTGATTCTGATATGCATACTACACAGGTGTATCCAAATTCGATTTTTATGATTTTTGTCTATCCATCTTCAGATCCATATTTGAAAAAAAATTGTAAAATATCCGACATTATTTGTATATGTGAATAACAAAGTGGTCTGTTAAACGATCTAAAACATATACCTATGACTAATTAAAAATTTATGTGACGTTAATTTTAATATCACAAATGATATGCATCATTTATAGTTATCTATTTGGCAATGACATTAAATTAATTTTAATATTATCAATGATATATAAAGGTTAACTTTTATTAATTTTCATATGGATAATCATATTAATCTTAAGTACGTTAGTTATTCATATATTGATGAAATTATTTTTCCATATTTAATTTATTTATTGATAAATATTTACATATAGTTTCATTGATTTTTCAACATTAAGTAGATATCCAAACGCAAATCCCAATTCAAGATATCCATTTCGTTATTCACATCCTATAATATTCATATTAAAATTAAAATTAAAATATAGTAAATAGTGCTATACGAATTCGATTCCTATCGAATCCATCCCTATCCACAGCACCAGTCTAGTACATAATAGTTATTCTCTGTTTGTGTGGTATCCAGAGCACCAGTCCAACAGTGATTCACTTGTCGATTTGTCTGGTATATATGGTACCATTCCTACCTTGTGACTGTTTGCTGTGTGTGAGCTCACATCACAGATGATGTTTCAGTTTTATCCGGGAAACTGAGATACTCCAGTACCAACAATTTTGTTACTGAATCATACCATTCACCACGATGAATGAAAAATGAAAATTTTTGATTGTGAAATGCCACCACCAGTTTCCCCATCATTCTATTTAAGCAAGATTTGCATGCATCTAGAAATAACTTCAGCAATGTTCACAAAAAAAAAAACTTCAGCAAAGGAAGGAAGCAACAGAGATAGAGAAGCGGCCGACATGTTTCCTTTATCGGCCGAAATCTCTCGATATTTCCGATATATCTTGTTTATCCGTAGGTACCGATAAGATATAATCTATCTTTTTCGTATAAATTTTGTTTAAATTTACTTAAATTTAAATTAAATTTTATTTGAATTTGGTCCGATATTTCCGATATATCATGTTTATCCTCTTTATCTGTGACCCCCAATAAATTTCAATTTCCGAAAATAAAAACCTTGGCGGCCGATCTGTTGAGCGAAGTCAGTCGACGTCATCTCACCTCCGTGCGGGCTCAAGGCCAACGCAAGTGGAGTAGGAGTTGTACTCCCCGGACTGGAGCGCGCCGGCGACGGCGTCCACGGCCTCCGGCGCCGTCCGGAAGCACGGGAACGCCGACGGGTCGCCGTGGCCCATCGGGATCACCGGCCTCCCGCCGCCGCCGCCTGCCGCAACCATCTCGGCCTTGATCCTGGCCAGCACGCCGCGCACCGAGAGCGACATCAGGCCCAGGAGCCTCTCGTTCGGCTTGAAGTTCCACGAGTCCGGGACAGCAGCCACCCCCCAATTGCTGGCGCTCTTCTCCATTGTGGTGGTTGCTCTGGTGCTCCGAGAGGTTTCGCTTGGATGGCGGCTTGGCCACTGCGAGCTGTGGAGAGTGGCGGAGTGGATGTGTGTGATGAAGGGCACTTGTGGTGAAGTGTGCCCGTCCGTCTACTTATAGCACTGGGAGTATAGTCTAACTTGGGGAGTAAGAAGGTGAGGGGAACAGAGAGTAACCATCTTGGGGAGGAAGAAGAAGAAGAAGAGAGGAACAGAGTAAACAGAGCAGATGGCGATGAATGATTGAGGATTCAGAGATCGCACTACAAATGGTTTTGTTACGTGTCGTCCTCTCCTTTTGACTTCTTCTTTTTTTCCCTTTATTAGGATCTTATCTTATCATCATCATACATGCTAATCTAAATCTGAATCTGAATCCGGAGTTTAAATATACAAAGGAGTTTTTGATATCCATGCGGATGCAGAGTAAAATAATTAGTATTGACAAAATTCGATGGATGTAGTTATCAGTTAATTAATAATGGATTAATTACCCAAGTCTTATAACGGGGTCATATAACTATTTAATGCCCAACATGTCCAGAAACAAAAAATTTAGGATAGTTCTCTTTTTTTTACATTGTATCTATAGATGTCCATTAGGGCCAAGCCTTAACAGAGCACAGGGCATGGTCTATTAAGGTCTGGCCAGAGCACGACACGGTCCAAATCTTATCGTGCCCGTGCCGGCCCGGCCCACACCTTAGTGTCATGTTAGGGCTAGACCCCTAGCACGAGAAAGGTCCGTTAATCTGGGTGGCCCACTAAGGCCCGTCATAGCCATGATTTTGTGTGCCCATGCTGTGTCGTCCCCGGTGGCACGTTTGGACATGTTTATTGTTATCAGCAGGTAGGTTTGCCAACAATGCTTTAGGCCTTAAATATGATTTTTTGTTATTATATAACCTAGTTGGCCGCTAGCCAGAATGAGTCAAATGACATGAATAATTTGTTCAGCTGATGTTTTATGGCTTCCTTTTATAACTTATTTATTAGCGTATACATAAGCACATGTCAAGGTATCTGATTCCTCAAGTAATCTTTCAGTTATCCTAAGTTAAATCATACTATGATTGACCAAATTTGTATAAAACAATAATATTTATGACACCAAATTAGTAGTTATTAGATATATTTTTGTAATTTATCTTTTTAATATGATAGTTTTAGAGTTATGTCCAATTTATATTTACATCTAAACTTGTCGTTTAATTTTAAAAACACTCTTGAACTCAAATTTATAATTTATCCAACTTTTTAAACCGGATGAAATACCCCCTTGCCCACTTCAAAATGGTTTACTAACATATGAGCGGGCCCACATGTCAGGTGGTCTCTCACTTCTTTTAGATGAGAAAGTCATAACCTTTTTCATATTAAGTTGTGTGAATACAAACATTATATATAACCTAGAGTTGGATGCTGATTATTTGGACATGTGACTATGAATGGATTTGATTTGCTAAGTTACGTAATGGATGTGGTTATTTTTTCAATTTTCTTGCTGGTTGTAAGATAATTTTGTTGGCTTGAAATGGGATGTAGATTGTTCAATGGGCTGCAATGTATATCGTGGGCTGCAATGATTGTAAATGGACTGCGCCCATATAAAAATAGAGTCAAATAGATGTGGCCCGTATAAGAATGAGCCTAAAATGTGTAGTTTGGACCCACGTAAGAACTGGGCCTAATTCAGAAAAGAATAATGGGCTACCTAAAAATAGAACGGGTTTTGTTGGGCCGTCAAAAATTTTGTGACGATTTAAATCTTCATATTAAACTGCCATGTCATATCCATATGACAACAATATTTCACAACGTTTTTTATCCTATGTAGCACGTGCATAGTCATCCATGGTGAATGTTTTGCACGCACAAACTATACATCTATCTAGAGAAGCCTTCTTTCTTGGGAATTTCCACGCAGGAACAAAAGTGTAATTACGCCCGCTCCTAATACATCTCCCCTCCCATCTCACTCTCTGCCTTCTTTTCTTTCACGTTCATCTATATCTCTTCTCTTCCTCACGTGTTCCAGCCGGGGAAGAATTTTTATATTTTAATCATTTTTATTTAATATTTTAATAATAATCGTTCAAAAAAATTTTTCAGATCTAATCTTTTTGATTGCGCCATGGGGCTGACGTGACCAAATAACGTTGTCGCGCCTGTGTTGGCACGACAAGATGTGCCATGTTGGATGAACGTTTCCGACATGAAAAACCTTGTCACGTCACTCCCATTGATGTAATAGTATTGTTCGTTGCGCCACCGGAATGGCATAACAATATTAAACTTTAAAAAATCATAACTCTTTAATACGACGTCGGATGAAGATGCAATTTCTATGAAAATTATAACTCTCGATGAGATCTACAACTTTCTAGTTTTGAGTTTTTTCATTTTAGGAGGTTAAGTTGCTCAAAAAATTAATATAAAATTTTAGGACCATAATAATTGTGTACTGGTGCTTGTCGCATTAGAAAAATAATATCTTTTTTTTTGTATGTTGTCAAATAAAGATACTTTTACATCAAAGTTGTAACTCTCAATTAAATCTATAACTTATAGTTTTAGTTTTTACATTTGATGTCGTTAAGATGCACAAAAATAATATAAAATTTCAGCAGTTTAATAATCATACACTAGGTCGTCGCTTTACTAAAATTATATTTTTTCTTGTTTGGTGTCAAATGAAGATACTTTTTATACTAAAGTAGTAACTAACTATGGGATCAACAACTTTTTAATTTTGAGGTCTTTCATTTGAGATAGTTAAGATACCCAAAAAAATAATACAAAATTTAATAGCATGTTAATCATGTTTCAAAGCTTATCTTTTTAGAAAAATCATATATTTCTTATTTGATGTCGCATAAAAATACTTTTTAAATGAAACTTGTAGATCTCATAAAACTATATTTTTTGACATCAAATGAAACTTGTAGATCTCATTATTAAGTCAGCTACAACTTTAAAAACTATAAAATTTTAGATACCATTATTATTAAAAATGCGATTGAATTATTGTCCTGAAATTTTATATTAATTTTTTGAGCAAAATGAAAAAAAGATTAAAAATAAAAAAATCCTCCAGCTGGAGAAGCCTTCAGTTCTATCAGTTGAGCCAGAAGTAAATGACGTGGTTGGTCATGTGACGCGATCGGGTTGTTCCGAAAAAAAAATTTAGATGCCATTATTATTAAAATATTGAATAAAAAATATTAAAAAAAAATCCTCCAGCTGGAGAAGCCTTCAGTTCTAGCAGAAGTAAGACAGGTTGGGCCCATCCCATCTTTGTTGCCACACTCGCCAATCCTCTTCTTATGCCTGCTTCTTCTTCCAGCTTCACTACTGTGAATCATAAGGGACAATATATATTCTCCACATTGCAAATTGTGAGTCATTTTGCTTTTCTAGGTGAATAATTTTTACTATGCATTTAGATATATGCTATGTTTAGATACATAGTAAAGACTATATATCTAGAAAACTAAAACGACTTATAATTTAGAACCGTGGGAGTACAAGGGAAGTGGTGATTTCACTTCAAAAGTTATTAGGCCAAACTTGATGGATTCATGCAATAGGAGTCTTGTACATTTCAGATCCCTTAAAATTCGTGTTGCGCATACACACAGCAGATGGCAGAGAAGAAGAGCCCATTGCTTATTACTGTGGACCTCGAGCATCAAATATATCATCTTCGAGTGAAGATGATACAACATATCATACATCTGGGTAGAAGTTCATAACAGTTTGTCTGGTGTCGTCGCACGGGACCAGTGAGTTTATCTTATCACTTTGTCGGCTTCTTGTATCGCAAGCAGAAGGACTTGAGCCTGTGAAGCCCGTCTTCGAGGGAAGACGGATCAATTGCAAAGGTGATCCGAAGCCAATCCTTGTATCCCACAGCACATCCTGACAATTAGTTTCCCGCAGGTTACATCTCAAATAAAAAGGTGATCTCAAGGTGGATGGAAAAATGTCTTGAACCAATCTGTATTCTAGAACTATAGATCGAAATGAATCATGTATTCGAAAGAACAATACCTGGCAGAACAACCACTAATTCTTCCTTTGCCAGCCGGCAGCAGAAGTCCATGTCATCTTTGATGTCCGACAGGCAAGATACATCCAGTTTAACCTGTAGCAAGTCAAGGGAACTTCACACATTGTTAGCAAATCGCTCATGGTGTCCTGAAACATGGAAGAGTATATATATATATTGACTCACAGACCATTACAAACATGGATCCCTCTGGTTTGCTTGGGCATGTGATTGCATTGATGCCCTTCAACTGTTCCCAGCATATATCTGCACTTTCTTTTATAATTTTGATGGTTTTTTGGAAGAATTCCTCCTTTGTGTTCTCCAGGAGGTTTGGAATTGCTCCCTGACAAACAAAATTTTGTGATTCAGTCGATGCAAACCAATATTTTACTATGTACAATGTCAAGTCTTGCGGGAAAATCGCAATGCAGGTATAGTTACCTGGACAAATGTTGGAGGATCAGACGAGATATCAAGGTAGCTCTTGATGCTGCCCACTACCTGAAAGAAGAAAAAACATGTCTAAGCATCATTTCACTGCATTTTGTATGGTACCTTCATTTAACTCCAAAATCTGAAAAATAGCTTTTCTATGATCAGCCATGTCAGTACCCAGGCCATTTTGTTATATGAAATACAAACCAACTTCCAACACTGATTATCACATAACCAATGTTAAATCATGAAAAGTAAAGAACCTTAGTCATCTGAAATACACCATTAGGATCATTGGTAACTATCCATCCAAGCCGCCATCCAGGCACCACCCATTTCTTTGATATGGACCCTAGTGTGAACACTGGAGCCACAGCCCCAAACACACCCATCGGCACAAATTTCCTCTCTCCAAATGTCAAGTGTGCGTAAACCTCATCTGCTATGACAAATATGCCAAGCTTCCGAGCAGTGTCAGCAACCTAGAAAATCATGGACACAAATAGGCATTCAAGTTATTCCCCAAGATCCATTTACAAAAGGCAGAACCAGAAGTAGCTTATTAGAACTTACCTTGGCCAGGTGCTCATAGGTGTAAACATTGCCACATGGGTTTCCTGGGTTGACAATGACCATAGCAACAGTATTCTTGTCAGCAAGGGCTTGGACACAATCAATGTCAACCTCCCAGCCTTTCTCAGGTAGAAGATCGAAGTACCGTGCTTCCATGCCATTGAAAACAGCGCGTGCCTCATAGAACAAGTAGCCAGGCCTTGGAACCAAGATGTTGGCACCGGGACGAGCTAAGACAGAGCAGATTATCTCAATCGCTTGAGCACAGCCACTTGTGAGGTAGATATCATCAGGTGACAATGTATATGGCAAATCACGGGATAAGTACTGAGCAATGGACCTGAAATTTAAGGTTTTAAGTCACCGTAAGGTAACTATATATGTTTAATGTTGTGAAGAACATATATGTAAAATGGAATTCTTATTAATTGGAATAAATTAAGTGCTGTGTAGTTTGTGCTACAAAGAAAATAACCATGGTCTGTCGGGAGAAAATTTCAGTGTCCAAGCTCCTAGGCATCAAGAGACTGAACAAATAGCATGTAGCACAGGTGCAGGATGCAGTCATTATTTTTTATGAACACAATCATGTAGCACTGATCGGATAACCAAAATTTTTTTACAGAAACATGAAATGAAAAATGTTATGGCTCATCACAATCTAAGGAAGTGAATCTTATAGTTGGAACATGAACCAAGGTGCAAAGCAATATTTGCCCTTATATTGTTGGTGTTAGTGGGTATCACATAAAGTTCACAGAGACAATATTGGCAGACACCAGATACAATGCTCAGTGATTCCCAGACAGAGCATGTTGACTCCAGCAATAATGAATTAATGGTGTACGAATCTTTTTTTCTGAAAAAGTGGGGAGGCAAACAACCTTTCCCTAGCATCAGTCAAATAGTTATTCACTTGTTTGTTTTTTTTATATATTGTATCATTCGTACCCCGTGACTGTTTGCTATCACAGCAAGTTGGCCAAGACAATATTGGCAGATGTATGGTTCAGTGATCCCAAACAGAGCATAGACTGTGTTAACTAGAAGTGACTACTGAAATCATGCTGACTCCAGCAATAATGAATTAACAGTGTACAATCTGTTTTCTGAAATAAGGTGGGGGGAGTCAAACAGCCTTTCCACTGCACCAGTCACGTATTTGCTTTCACAGCAAGTTGGCAAAGACAGTACTGGCTGACTGGCAGATGTAAGGTTCAGTGATTCCCAAACAGAGCATAGACTGTGTTAACTAGAGCTGGCTATTAAAACCATGCTCGACTTGACCAATAATGAATTAACGTTGTACACTCTCTTTTCTGAAATAAGGTGGGGAAGTCAAAGGGCCTTTCCACAGCACCAGTCCAATATTCATCAGTCAGTCTGCGTTAACTAAAGCAGTTATAATAACACAATGAAATACCATTCACCACGATGAAAAATGAAAAAAATTCGATTGTGAAATGGCAGCACCAGTTTACTCATCATATTGTTTCAGCACTAAGCACTCGGATTTGCATCTCGAAATAACTACAGGAACGGAAGCAAAAGAGAGAGACAAGCAGCCGAGGCCAAGAAGTCAGAAGTCACCTCCGTGCGGGCTCAAGGCCGACGCAAGTGGCGTAGGAGTTGTACTCCCCGGACTGGAGCGCGCCGGTGACGGCGTCCACGGCCTCCGCCGCCGTCCGGAAGCACGGGAACGCCGACGGGTCGCCGTGGCCCATCGGGACCACCGGCCGCCCGCCGCCGTCGGCCTCCACCATCCCGGCCTTGATCCTGCCCAGCACGCCGCGCACCGAGAGCGCCGTCAGGCCCAGGAGGGTCTCGTTCGGCTCGAAGTTCCAGGAGGCCGGGACAGCCTTCACCACCCCATTGCTGGCGCTGGCGCTCTTCTCCATCGGGGCGCGGTGATTGGCCTGGCGCTGCGACAGAGGTTTGGCTTTGTTGGCGGTCGGTCGGCTTGGCCACGAGCTGAGTGGCGGAGTACTAAGATGTGTGATGCGGGGCACTCGCGTGAACTGTGCCGGTTTACTTATAGTACACCAAGAATTTTAATAAATAAAAATAGGATGTCAGAAATTTAGAACTGTTTGAACCAAGAGACACCTTTCATGTTTTCTTTGTATGGGCTCCTGAATTGACTAGGCGTGGTTTCGTTGCGATTCTCTTCTCCGTACTCTATTCTAAGATATAAGATGTTTTGAATTTTGTAGTTATACTAATTTTGTAATGTATTTACACATACGCTGCATCTAAGTGCATAGGTAAAAATATGAATATAAAAAAGTCAAAAAGGCTTATAATTTGGTACGAGGAGAGTATTTCTTTTGCACCTGTATGTACTGTCAATTTTATGATTATTAGTTTTAGTTCTTTTTCATTGCAACAAGTTAAAATATGTTGTATTTAAATTGTTCGCCGTGTATAAAAATTTAGTTTTTTAAACATATTTTTATTTATATATTTGTTTAAAAAATAGTTTTATCTAATGAATTAGAATTCAGCCTGCTAGTCAAACGGTCTCATAAAATGATTCTGATTTATCTCCTGAAATGTTTGTTGAGACTTGAGAGAATCCGGATTGAAAACATTTCTACAATAATCTAGATCATCCCTACTTAAGGCATCATCTAAGGGTGTTTGCCTGCTAGGAATGGAATGTGTTGATCTGCTATTACCACGTCATCTCTCACAATCTGTAGTTACGTATAAAGCTAATAATGAATTAAGTCGCTCCACCTAATTTTATAGGTTAAATTCATGAACAATGATATACCACATTATTTGGAATGAGGTAGTTACTCAAACTGGACCATGTTGGCTGTGCAATATTAAATACTCCTTCCATCTTGGAATATAAAGAATTTTGAATTATCCTAAGGGTCGTTTGGATCCTTTTATTTGAAGAAACTGAAATCTATTTAGGCCTTGTTTTTTCACTCTCTCTCCATCACATCAATTTTTGAAACATGCATCTAAATTAAAAAAATAACTAATTACAAGGCACGAGATCTAGCCTTTAGTCTATGATCGGACAAAGTTTATCAAATAGAAACGAATTTGACCGATTCAATCTAAACAAGGCCTTAATAAACAAGGCTATTTGGCTTGGAATTTGACATTACATCACTTTCCAAAGTTCACATATAAGCCATATTCATAGGGTGCGAGATGAAAATTGATTATATAGATCACCACGCTATGTTTATACTTTGACAACTTATAACACACTCTTCAATTCTCTCCCCTACAGGTAGAAATGCAACACTAGTATCTATCTCGTATAGCCAGCAATAATATACAAATATAATCTATATATAACCATATTAGCTTAATCAATATATGTTTAAATTATGATTATTAAAATGAATTCAATTCTAATGATCCAGACGGGACGTAAGTGAAATTGTATGGAGTTTATATAAAGATGCAATAATATTTACACCAAACTAGTATCGTTAGTAACCTCATTTCATATATTTCCATAATTTACCCTTTTAATAAGCTAAATAATGTTAATACTCTTCATATAAACTTTGTCAAACATAGGACATTGACTAAGGGTTAACTAAAAAAATCCCTTATATTTTGGGGTAGAATGAATAGCGCGCTAGTTAGCACATAGTATATTTGAGTCACCAACTGGAAGTTAGTATGTGTCATAATCAACCGAAAGCGACTAAATATTAAACTCTCAACTGCTGATGCCATCTTGGAGCTATCGGAGAGGCAAAACCGAACCTGGCCACATGCCAATTAGGAGGAACACTCAGTCACAAAATAGAATTGCGTACTGTATTTATAGAGGTCAAATTACAGAAAGTGTTTGATTTGAGAAACTTTTTTTGATGAAACGTTTGATTTGAGAAACTATCTCATTTGATTTAACCTCATGAATATTCGTGGAATGACTCCATCACTCATTTATACTAGTTATTGGCTTATATAAACCAAAAATATAAGGATCCGGAAAATGGTGGACCATCCCATCCACCAACCGACAACTCATACTTTGAGTGGTTGTTGACTGGCGCCATATTCCATGGCATGGCGGCCAAGTAATTCGCAAGCTAATTTGGTTTGGAAACATGTGTTGCTGAAAGAACGAGGAAGTTGCTAGCAGGTCTCATTTTTATTTCATCTGTCTCACTCTCCTAATGCACAAACGTAAACCTGCAACATCAAGTCTGTTTTTACTCTTTACTCTCTTTCATTTACAGTTCATCACAAATCACAAGTCAAAATGTTTCATAAGCCTTAATTATTAACTCGTTAGTAATCACGGTGTGGTTTTCTTGTCCATTAGTGGTGGATTTGATGATTGGCATGATATTTTCTAGCTCTTGCAAAGGATGGTAGTTTCAATCATCACTACTACAACTAGCCTTTTTAGAGGTGACCATAGATGCTTTGTACAGGTGGTACCGTCATTTTACAAAAATCATAAAAATAGTAAAAATATTTTTAATCACTTGGGTCTATAGGACTCATCCATTCCCTTGTAATCAATTTTCTGAAATTTGAAATGGATATTTAGGACTCTAAATGAACTCAAATAAAAATGTTTCAACTCTAAACTTGTAGATATCATCGAGTACTAAAACTTTGATCTTGGTCGTTTCTTTCATTAGAGGTCATTTGAAAATTTTTAATTTCAAATATGAGAAATCCAACATGTTTTTTTTTGGATAAATAATTTCAAATAAAAAAGTTGCCAACTATAAAGTTGTATAACTCTTCAAGATCCATGACTTTCGTTTTTGTCAGTTCTACATTAGAGGTCGTTTGAAAAATTTGAATTTCAATAGGTGATGACTTGAGACTAAATTTATTTTTAATTAAAACTGCACTGTTGTATATCTTTTTGAGATCTATAACTTTGGTTTTGGTCATTTCTCCATCTGACGTCATTTGGAAAATTCAAAAAAAATGATTTTCAAAATGTGAGAACTCCAAACAGAATTTGCTGAAATTAAATAATTTCAAATAAAAAAGTTATCAACTACAAAGTTATAGACCTCTTAGAGTTAAACAACTTTGGGATGAAGTATGTCTTCATTTGACTTTGTTTGAAAAAAATGAATTTTACTAGATGGCTCTAGATCTAGCCGGACATTTTTAGAGGTAACTAAAAATAACAGTCACCTCTAAAATGGATTTCTAGAGACGATACGTTTAAGAAACCAACCATTTTTAGAGGCAGCTTTTGATTGAGCCGCATCTACCCAAAATAGCCGGTGTCTCTGTAAACTGTTTTCATAGTAGTAGATAGATGGAGCATGCATGGTCCTCTCTATTTCATTATTATATCGAAAGGACAAAGGAATATCAAATAGCAGCTGGCTACTGAACCATTGGACATGCTTATCAATTTGCGTTTGTCTTTGCTACTAATAATTATAAAAGTATTAAGGGTACATCGTAAGGATATAGTAACACCAACTCGTGTTACTATAGGTTGGAAAAAGTGTTACTAACTCTCTTAGTAACATATTTTTTTTGTGTTCCAATGTAACTCATTTACTTGTATATAGGAACATTTGTCAAGTGTTACAATTATTTTTGTTGTAATACTTTTTTTTTGCTCTAGTAACACTTCACATTATAGTAGAATGTATAGTTTGTAACACATTTACTAATCTTTTGGAACATTTGCCGAGTGTTACAGTGATTATCTGTTGTAACACTTTTTTAGTTCTAGTAACACTTCTACATTGTGGTAGAGCACAATATGGAACAAAGGAACACATGTTTTGTAACACTTATTTATATCTATTGTGATATTCAGATTATGAAACAAATATTTATTTCGCTTATACATGTGGCACACACTTTAATATAGAATTACACAAACATGACACATTACAAAATCACATAAACCACAAGTTTCAATTATCATAACAAGATCCACATATTGTAGCACAATCTCAAACATAGTGCTTGTCCAAATCAAATCATAGTATATGTACATAATGATATGGCTCTAGAGAGCAAACACACATAGTCTATACTAGAAAGAAAAAAAAAATCAAGAACTAGCTAGGATTTCATAAATTCCATTGCTTCTTCTTCCATTCTTTGTACACATCGATATAGGAATTCAACCATTAATTATTTCAATCTGCAAAGAAAATATAAGTTGTAACATTACAAATTAGGCCACATATGTACATTGAAGTAAAGTTAAGAAAGCTAGTTTGAACATACAAACATAGAAGGCCAAGCAATTGGGACTCATTTGGCTTGGGCATCACCAATATTGTTGCACCCAGCCATGACCTCACTAATGGTTCATCATTTGCTATAGGATGATTGATATGTACTTTGTAGAATTGACTCCTTGTCTTAACTCCATCAACAGTGGCTTTTGGATCAGTGCTCAAGAGAGTTGCATAGGCCACATTAGCATTGTTAGGATATTTTGAAGTTATTAGTAGCAACATGGTCCCAACCTACATTAATTTGACATAATCTCTTAGTGACCAACAAACCTTAGTTGTATGTCAAGATCATGCAATTAGAATAAGTGATATTATGTTTGTCTACCTTCATTAGAGGAAGTTATTTATGTGTTTGACGCTTTGAGGCATGTAGCCTTGTTATGAGCCACCTCCTGGTGTGCAATGGTTGTTGTCTCTCTAGGCCCTCAGTGATGACCCTTACACATATAAAATGAAGTATGAAACAATAAGACAACAATTCTACTATAATTATAGCAAAGTGTGGTTCATAGATACCTTTTGTTTCTTTGTTATTCTACTTGTTTCTTTGTTATGGCAAAGTAGATCGTCATCATCACTAAATTCAGACTAACATGTTTCTTTATTCTAGTAAAGAGAAAAAAGAAAGTAGGTTGAGTTATTATAAAAAAATCCTTTATGGATAAAATAAGTATTAA